TTTCCTTTTTTGTTTGTTTGTTTTGTTTTGCTTTTGTTGTTGTTTGTTTGTTTGTTTTTCGAGACAGGGTTTCTCTCTGTAGCTTTGGAGTCTGTCCTGGAACTCACTTTGTAGACCAGGTTTGCCTCAAACTCACATAGATCCACCTGCCTCTGCTTCCCAAGTGCTGGGATTAAAGGTGTGCGCCATTACCACCTGGCTTGTTTCTTTCTTTCTTTCTTCTTTCTTTTTTTCAAGACAGAATTACTCTGTGTAACCACTCTGGCTGTCTGGGAACTCACTCTGTAGACCAGGCTGGCCTCGAACTCACAGAGCTCTGCTTGCCTCTGCCTCCCATGTACTGGGATTAAAGGTATGCACCACCACTACCTGGCCAGATTCTTTTGTTCTAATCTGAATTACTCATACTAACTCTTGCAGTTGTACTTTTTTGTCGGGACCACTGGACTGCAAATAACAACAGAGACTTATTATGAAAGCTTGGCCATTAGCTTAGGCTTGTCTCACTAGCTCTTATAACTTAAGTTAACCTGCTTCTATTAATCTATGTTCTGCCATGTGGCTTGGTTACCTTTACTCTGTACTCTATGTCCGACCTCTTCAGTGTCTCCCTGGCATCTCCTGTGGGCCTAGATTCCTTCTCCTTTTCTCTTCCTGGAAATCCAGCCTATCCTCTCCTGCCTAGCTATTGGCCGTTCAGCTTTTTATTACACCAATCACAGCAACACATCTTCACATAGTATACAAATATCCCACTGAAGCACAGTTCTAATTAGTCTTAACAATAAAAACCCAGAGTCAGATATCAGGGTGGAAGTTGAAAGATCAGAGAAGCAGAGCAGCCAGACACTAGAGACTCCTTACCTTTATAAATCCTCAGACCAAATGGGGGTCGAGATCCTATCTCCACCCGCCTTATATTGCTGTCTCCACCTCCTGATTGTGCTGGAATTAAAGGAGTACAGCATCACCTGGCTCTGTTTCTCTTTTAGACTGGCTCTTTTAGACTGGTGTAGCCCAGGGTGGCCTTGAACTCCTGATCTTCCTGCTTCCTCCTCCCAAGTGCTGGGATTAAAGCTGTGTGCCACTACTGCCTGGCCTCCATGGTTAACTAGTGGCTTGCCCTCTGATCTCCAGGCAAACTTTATTTGTCAGAACACAAACAAAATATTACACAACAAACTCTCATGTAATACAACACACAGCACATAGCAAATATACCAATATATCTATATATGTATTTATGACTTACAGAATGACTACAACTTGAAGAGGCTGCAGCAGAGTTTTAAAGGCGTTAGAAGTGGGCTGAGAGGGGCTGAATTGACATAATAATAAACCAGACCAGTGCCTGAGTGGAGCAGCTTTGGGAGCCACTGGACTCAGATTTAAGAGCAAAGCCAGGGGGTTCAGCTGTGAGGTTAAAGGCTGGACTGGGGTCTGAGGGCAGGAAACATACCAGGGACAGGGGCCTGGCAGATCAGGTCCAGATGGGCAGGTAGGTGGGTGAGCAGGTCCTCAAGTAGGCAGTCTGCACACGTGCACGAAGCTGAGCCCAAGCTCAAGGAACGGTTGGGGAGTCCTTGATCCTTGAAGCACACACCAGGCATCCGATGATAGGTTGGCGGTGTGGGACCATGGCACCACAATAGTAGGTGTCCATCACTCTAGGGAGTCTAGACAAGGGAGTCAAAACCTTTCCTTGGTCTGGTATACCTGATAAATTATGATTTTAATGGGGGCACACGTGCTCCTACAGTCACATCAGTATAAACTTATAGGGTGGTCTCGTTGTACTCCCAGGAGTAATTCATCTATTAGTCTGCGCTAGATGAGTGGTGCCAGACAGATGGTGTAGTTTCTGTGCCCGCCCAAAGTCTACAGTCATTCTTCTAAGAACGGAGTCAAAAACTGTTTATTAAATGGGATCTCCATGAGCAATGCACAGCCTGAAAAACCACTGTTTTATACAGTATAGAGTGACTTAGATTAGAGTATAGCAATGGTCCTAGAATTCTTACAGAGGATTATTGATCCTTCTCCCAGACCAATCCCCAGCCCCCTCCCTTTTTCATTTTTTTTCTAGACTCTGGACATTTTCAAGAAAAACAATGAGATACACTTGCAAACATGAAGTGAGGGTGATAAATACAGTTTTTAAAGATTTTATTTATTTATTTATTTTGTGTGTGTATGCATGTATCATGTGTTAACAGGTACCTGCTTCCCTCAGAGCGGGGAGAGGCCTTTGGATCCCCTGGAGCTGGAGTCAAAGGCGGTTGTGAGCTGGCCAACACTGGTGTTAGGAACAGAATTCAAATCTTCCGTACGTGCTGTTGAGTGCTGGGCTCATTTGCAAACTCCAAAGGGTGGTAAATAATAATACTTGGAATCACTGTCTGTAGCATGGTATCAATAAGCCATCATTTACATAAATGGTGATTTGTTATTTGTTTTTGAGTTAGAGTCTTGTTTTGTATCCCAGGCTAGCCTCAAACTTGTGATCCTTCTGTCTCAACTCACCAAATTCTGGAATATGGGTACGTACCTCCATGCCCTACAGTTTCTTTTAGAAGGTCTTCTGAACAAGATGCCCATTTCTAATGATTTTTCCATTTCTGGTGAATTCCTCAAATGATCAATAGTCATCTATTTCATTTCTACTATTTGTAGAACTCATGCTGGGGTAATAAGTATATGATAGAATCCCTGACTTTAAAAAGTCAATAACAGCTACTGAGAAATAGGATGTGAAGAGAAAAGGTAAGTAACCATATGTTACAGCAAAAATATTATGTGTATTGTGTTAATAATACATAAATTATAATTTAATATATGATCACTACTACAGTCAGTAAATGCTAAAAATAATCAGAGGACAAGGTAATTCCAGAAGTCTAGGGAAATCCAATAATGCCTTTGCTTAGAGGAAGAAGTTTGGTACTTCATTTCAGAAGACTGATTGAGCTGCACAAAAGGTTTATGTAAAGAAAAGATAGAAATATTGGAAAGAAAGAGCCTTACTGTGATGACTCTTGATTTCGCCTTCCTGATATCCAGTCTGCATTCAATATGAACAGAAGTTGGCTCAAGATCCAGGTAAACCAGAGGATTGCATTTCAAGCTATCGGTGTGATAGAGATGGCTGCAAAGCTTTTGGATGGATGAGTTTTCAAATTGCTTTGGACCTGATGCATTTGGTCTCAGATGCTTATTTGGAGGCGATCCCACTTCTCTGTGGAGATCGATTACCCCTCTCACTTTTGTGTGGGAGCTGTAGTGTATAGCAATGTTTTAAATCTTAGTTAGGCTGTAAGATAGAACCTGGGCTTTTCAACTACAAACCCTACCCAAAATGGCCACTCCATTGAGACTGTCTTAGGCTAAGAAGGGTCTTTATCCTGTTTTCTGGCTAAATGCAGAGGTAGAGGAGGAAGCACCCACAAAGTAAATACAAATGACTACATCGGGGGGCATGGAAGATAATGAAACTTGGTTGTGTGCTAGGGCCACTTAGCATTTACAATGTGCTGTCAATACACTCTCTCCTTTGAAGTGCAGCCCTTGACAAACACCAGAAGGGGTTGAGGAATGCATCCGAGTGGTGGAGCCCCAGCTTCCTGGGAATACATTCAGCGTTTATGACTGCTATAGTAACAAATTGAGACGTTTATGTTTTTCACGGTATTTGGTTCATTTTTGGGTCTGAGTGAATAGCTGCAGGTTCCAGTAGTCATGGCAGAGTCTCTGGTATTAGAGACCAAAGACTAACTGGAGAAATAGGGGCTTTGTGTTTTTAAAGCTTGATGAAATGTCACTCAATACATTATACACACACACACACACACACACACACACACACATACATATATATATACACACATACCTTTACATACACACCTATACATATATACACATATATCCACACCCATATACATACACACACTGCTATACATACACACACCCCCATACACACACATATATGCATACCTATGTATACACATATACTTTTACATATATACATATACACATACCTATGCATACATACACAAATATATACATACCCTCCTATACACACACACACACACACACACACACACACACACACACACACACACACATATATATTTTTTGACAGGGTCTAACTATGTAACCCTGGATGGCCTGGAACTCATTATATAAAGCAGGCTGGCCTAAAACTCAGATATCCACCTGCCTCTGCCTTCCAAGCACTGGGATTAAAAACCTGTACCACCGTTCCTGGCACTCAATATACATATTAAAACACATCTGTTAATACAAGTGCACAAGTGCATCACAGTCTATTCAAATATTTGATGATTTTGATATATATCATCTAAGATCATATACAGTATTTCTGCTACTTAAAGATGTTACAATCTTTTTGAGTAAGTAACATATTTAAGAAGTAGTGACTGAAATATTTTTTTAAATTTATTTTTAAGATTTAATTTTTATTTACATGTATGTGTCTGAGACTGCATGAGTTTATGTTAACCATGTACATACAAGAGCCCACAGATGGCAAAGAGGGTGTCAGATCCCCTGGAACTGGAGTTACAAGTAGTTGTAAACAGCTATGTGGGTGATCTTAATCACTGAGACTTCTGTCTTAGTTACTGTTCTATTGTTGTGAAGAGACACCAGGACCAAGACAATTCTTATTTAAAAAAAAATATAAATAAATAAATGAATGAATGAATGAATGAATAAATAAATAAATAAATAAATAAATAAATGGCAGGGTGTGATGTTTAATCCCCGCACTCAGGAGGCAGAGGCAGGCAGATCTTTATGAGTTCAAGACCAGCGTGATCTACAAAGCGAATTTTAGTCTCCAAAAATAAAAAGACTAAACAAACCAACCCCCCCAAACAAACAAACAAACAAACAAAAGATATTGGTGAAATTATTAGGGCCACTCCACGTAGTTAAAAGGGAGGTTTATTTTGTGGGGTAACTTACAAGGGAAGGGATAGGTTGCAGGGTCTGGGGAAGACGTAGCACAGTCAGGCAGTGTTCTCTGGAGAACTCGGCTCAGTCTACCTTCAGTGTCCTGGGTCCAGGAACCAAGAAAGCCAGTGCATCCGGATCTCGGGTCTTCAGGGTCCTCTCTTGGCCCCACCTTGTAGGCATGACAGTTACCAAAGCCTCAGTGGGGGTTGGAACTTCCAGATCAAAGCTGGAATGGCTACCCACTACAAAAAGACATTTAATTAGGGGCTTGCTTACAGTTTTAGAGGATTAGACCATGGTCATCATGGTGAGAATCAGACAGGCATGGTGCTGGAGCAGTAGCTAAGAGCTTTACATTCTGATGTACAGGGAGAGAGAAAGACAGACAGACAGACAGAGACAGAGATGACTGATATGAACTTCAGAAACCTAAAAGCCCAACCCCAGTGACACACCTCCTCCAACAAGGTCATACCTCCAAATCCTTCCCAAACAGGTACACTACCTGGGGACCAAACATTCAAAGATGCTATGGAGGCCATTCTCATTCAAACCACTACACTGTCTATCCCTTCCCGTGGCTGAACTTGAGAATTCTCTGAAATGTATGTTATGTTTCTTTGCTTCAAAGTTCAGACAGTGGTCTTTCCCAGTTATTTATACAAACATACACATTCATATGCCCCTTAATCTAGACACTGTGGTGGAACCTCGATGCTGGCAACCAGCACAGCTCCAAGTCATGCTTTCTCAGCTCATAAGCTTTATTCAACATTTGTTAATATCAAGAACTGTCATACACGTTGGGAAGTCACCAAATCATTGCTCATAATCAGGTTGGAGAAATTGTGTGTACTGCTGGATGTGGCTCAGTTGGTAGACTTCTTGCATAGCACCAAGGCATTCCTGGGTTTGATTCTCAGCACCACATAAACCAGGCATGACGGTGAATGCTCGGAATCCAAACACTGGAGAGATGGAGGACAGACGTTCAGTTACAAAGTGAGTTTGAGGCCAGCCTAGGCTTCCTGAGGCACGGTCTCAACAACAAACAAAATGGCAGGCAAGACGGCTTAGTGAGTAAGTGTGTCTGTCACCGTGTCTAATGACACAGCTGAATCCCAGAGAGCCACAGGGTGGAAAGAGAGAACAGCTTGAGCCAACTGTCCTCTCATCTCAGTACAGTCTCTGTGGCATGGATGTAGTGTGTACACACACACACACACACACACACACACACACACACACACACACACACGAATGCACATGTGCACACACACAAATGTAATAAATAAAAAATGAAAAGAAGAAATGAATTAGTAAGTAAATAAAATAGAAAAATAAAACAACAGAACAAGGGAAAAGTTGGTGTATGGCCAAAGAGGACAAGCCAGGGCCTAAGACCACATGCCGCTCTGCCAAGCTGTGCTTCATCTCTGGTCCTAAGGCGACTTACTTTTTTTTACTGTAAAATAATCTTTTTTTTTCTGTCCTTCCTTTAGAGCTGTTAGTCTTAGTAATATATTCCCTACTTCCCTTAACACCAAAAGCATGTAAAAGTCTTGAGCAGGGCTTTTATTTCAAAGTAAAGGGATGCGCTGCAAAGACACTGAAGCTTTCTAAATGGGAGTTTATTTATTTATTTTGTAGAGGATACACTTGATAAATTATGCAGGATGTTCCAGGATAGGAAGAGCTTCGAAAGGCCAGCATCAAGAAATCTCAGTATACTGAGAGGAGCTGAAAGCCTGGATTAAAGCTCTCAACACTGAGATAGATAACTGAGAGAGCAAATACCTGGCTCACAGTTTCAGAGGACTCTGCCTATTCCCATCCGGAGGGGAGGGAGGGCATGACAGAGTTGCTGATGTCATGGCAGCTGGAAGTAAAGAAGGAGAATGCTGGGCTCCTGGGTTCTTTCATTGTCCCCTTTCATTCCGTTCCAGGAAACATCGAGGCAGGAAGGAGTGAGTCCTGGAAGTCAAGTGACTAGAGATAGCTCACTGAATCCACCCAAGTACAGGATAACAAGAAGGTGACTGGCAACCTTGACAAGATTAGCTTTGGCAAAATGTTAAGGGTAAGCCCTAATAGGATGGTTTCCAGAGATCCCAGGGGAGAGGAATTGGAGGAGGCAGGCACCGTTGCAGACAGCTAATTCAGAGGAGGTTTTCTGTCAGTGCAGAAGCATGGGCGTATTCAGGGTGTGGGGAATGACTGAGTAAAGAGGGAAAGTGAGTGGAAAGTATCCCCCCACCACCACAAAGAGGAATGGGGGGGGACTGGAAGAACGATGTCTACACGTATGTTTAAAGGGATGAGACCATGTACTCCCAAATGCCCAAGTGGAGAGGGCTTAACATTACATGACAACGTGCCTAATTCATCATAGTAAGGGGATGACATTCAAAATATTGGCAGACTGATAGAAATGATGGTGGGACTGTGTTTTGGGTGCTCGTCTGCTCAGTGAAATAGGAAGGTCAATAGTTGAGAATGAAAAAGCTGAAGTTCAAGAGACAGAACTTGCTAATGAGTGTGTGGGAGAATAAGTGGATTGGTAAGCATGGTAGGATTGCCACACTCTAACAAGGGTCTGCTTAGAATGAATGACCACCAATAACAGAGATCTCTTCATTTTTCTCCAGGTACACAGGGTGTGGTTTTAGGCTTAGAGTAGATAGAAAGTTCAATTTAATTAAGATGTGAACCAACTGATGTGGGTGCTGGGAATTGAACTTGGATCCTCTACAAGAGCAATATGTGCTCATAACCACTGAGCCATCTCTCCAGCCCCTTGATTATGACATAGGCTGACAGGGGCAAGTTCAAGTTCATACACAGTTATGGCTATAACAGTATAAGATTAGAACATGGAATCACAATGAGTTAGGAAGAAAAGGGGAATATGTAAGGGAGAAGGGATAGCTTGAAGGAAGTAAAACTGAGTGGAGATTTCAATAGGACTAAAGAATTCTTAGTAAATTCTTGGTAAAGCCAGGTCATAGCAGCACATGCCTTTAATCCCAGCACTTGAAGGCAGAGTCAGGCAAATCTCTGGGAGCTCAAGGCTAGCCTGGTCTAGTTCCAGGGCAGCTAGAGCTACATAGAGACATCCTGCTTTTAACCCCTTACCCTCTAAAAAGAATTCTTGGTGATAAAGTGATAGATGAGGTCAGTTGGAAAGCTAGTAAATAGTGATCAGAGAATGGAATGCCTAGCACTGAGGTCAGAGAGAGGATGTAGTTATCAATAGTTCTAGGGTATCACCGTGGAAGAGGATAATGACTGTGGAGGGTGGGCTGGAGGCCAAGACCACTGGACGTGATACTGCTCGTGTAGGTTTTACTTTTTGATTTTTATTTATTTTTCTTGAGGTAGAGTTTCATGTAGCCCAGACTGACCTCAAACTTAATATTGAGGATGACCCTGAACTTCTGATTTCCCTCCACTTCTTGAATGCGTGTGTATGGGGAGGGGGTGGGGCATTATATGCGTATGCCACCAAACCTTGATGAGGACATGAGTTTAATGGAGAAGAAGGCACACGTAGTTGTGAGCAAGGATGAATCGGAGCCATAGTCCCAGTGCTGTGTCCACTAACGTTTTTAATGGCGTTTGTTGATGTTCTTGTTGAATTGGATAAGGCACACAAACTGCTTCATCTTCATGCAAGATGCTGAGTTGGGGCTTCTGTGAGTCCAGTCACACCACACAGCCTCTGGGCCATAGCAGAACACTCAGAGCCTGCCTCACTATTTCCCTTCATTTTCTCATGGAGTAAATGGCTTGTTGTTTTAAGCACCTTTATCCCTGGTCTCTGATTTTCAGGTGGATGCCATTCCACAAGCAGCAATAGCTTCTGTACTGAGTATTTACACAGTATGCTGACAGTGTTTATGTACACATGTCACTGATCAGGAGTCACGGCAACTCTGTATAAAGTAAGTACTATTGTTATTTTTCTTTTGCAAATAAGGAAAAAGAAAATATAGAGCTGTGAAGTATCAGGATCTCAGAGTTAGGGACCGACTTCAGTTCATGGTCCTAACCATATAACACTGCTGCCTTGCGAGCGGTCACACTAGGGCTGGGGGGTTTAGCTCAGTTGGTGGGATGCTTGCCTAGCATCAGGAAACCCTGGGTTTGATCTCTAGTACCTCATGAATAGGACTGGTGGTATATGTCTGTAATCATACCACTTGGGAAGTAGAGGCAGGAGGATTACAAGTGCAAGGTTATCCTCAGCTACATAGTGAAACAGAGGTCAGGCCAGGCCAGCCTGGGCCATGTGAGATCCTGTTCCAACACACACACACACACACACACACACACACACACACACACACACACACACACACATACACACACACACACACACAAATCAGTCCTGTTAGGTGAGTTGGAAGATTGGGTTTGAAGATTAAAACCGGTTTTTATGATGTAGCACATGATGTTTTTTTGTGTTTGAATATGAATATACCTTATTCTTAATTATGAATGTGTTATTTTAAATAGTATAGTTCTTTTGGTCAAATCCTGGGTCATACACACTCTGGGCAAGCACTCTATCAATGAGCTATTCCCCTAAACCCAGATATGTATAAATTCTAACATACATTTGAGAAACTAGCATGTAGAAAGAGTTTAGGCTTTTAAGTTGTCAACTAGAATTCAAATCATGGCCCTCCTCCAACTTTTTAAATAACCTTAGCAAAGATTCTTGGATATTCAACAATTAATTGGACATACATACTATTCAAGGTGCTCGGTTTGAAATGTTAAACAAAACCATGTTCTCATGGACTCCATCTTCCATGGTGGAAGAGCCAGAAAGAATAAACAGGGAAATACAAATGCTGTCAACAGAAGCAAAGTGTGTGGTACGGTGGGTAGAGAATAGGCTGTTGTTTCCTGGAGTTAATTTGTTTTTCTAGACCTCTTTCAAGCTGTGAGGAACAAGGGTAGGAACATGCAGATTGATTAGACTCCGGCTATTAGAATGTTGAACCAGGATGGTGGCTTGAACTAGAGAAACAGAGAAAATACAGAAGTGACTGAACTGTAAAATCAAAAAGATCTACCAATGATCAAACTTGGGACATGAGAATAATCAATAATTAATGAGATCTTGTCTGTCTGGCGCAGGGCCGTTTCTGTCTTCCTACGTTAACCGGGCTGCCCTCTCCTCCCGTGCTCAAGGATCCTCTTGGTTCATTCTACCAATGCTGCAACTATAGGCATGGGACGTGGAGCTTGGCTCTGTTTTGTGAATGGTGAAGATATAACTGAGTGGAGATTCACAGGAAAAGGGAAGTTAACGGCAGGAAAGGGGACAATTGGTCTCATGAAGGCCATCTCGATAGACTTATTTATTTATAAATGGTCTCACGTACCACAAGCTGGCCTTGGACTCACTGTACAGCCAAGGATGACCTTGAACATTCTGATTCTTCTGTCTCGACCTCCCTAACACTGGGATTGAAGGCATGCACAGCCATGCCTGGTTTACCCACTGCTGGCAATGGCTCCCAGGGCTTCGTTCATAGCAGGCAAGTAGATAATCTTCTGAGCTGTATCCCAGCCCTCAGTGCTATTAAAAACAAACAAACAAACAAACAAACAACAAACAAAATTTGCATCTTAGTGGGACAGCTGAGTTACTAAAGGGACTGTGATCCAGTCTTGGATGGGGATTTTCCCTACTGGTGACAGTTCTAGATTTACTCCGGGGAGTCAGCAACGTTAACTAGGCCAGCCATCCTGCGGCATGCATGACTTGTGCCACAAGCTCTTACACAAGTCTGCTAAACCTGGTCCTCTCCTCCAAGCTCTTCCCGGGTCTGTGAAAGTGCTCAGGGTGCCTTAGGCAAGATGCGGCTAAGTCACCACCCTGAAGGGCATCCGGAAGGCTCTTTCTCATAGAGCAAAAGGTGGAAAAGAGGAAACGCCCAAAGCCTGAAAGATACTGGGCTTGTGACATTTCACCCTCCCCAGTCCACATCTGACAGGAGCGAAGGTCACAGTGGCATTCTCCATTCTGGTCACTCCGTATAAAAGAATTCTTCCTCATCAGGGAGGGAGTGGTTGGAAGGACAAAGAATGCGTGCGCTAGAGGTGGGTGGGTGGCTCGCCCACGCGGACTGGAGAGCCGGCGTGTAGCCGGCGCGGGAGTGAATGGGAGCCGAGCGGGCCGGCGCGGGGCAGGGAGGAGCCGCAGCCGGGCCTCCCGGGGGACGTCTCCCGAGCTGCGGGAGCGCCGCCGAGCTTCTTATCCCCACCCACCTCGCGAGCTCCGGCAGGCAGTGGTGCATATAGACATATTTCTGGGAGCTGTCCATGAGCTCATCGCT